TCCTATATAATAAAACCCTAATATGCAAATCAACCACATGGCAGGAACGACCGGTTGCTATGACGTGTACTGACCACCAGGGGGCAGATGCTCAATGCAGGAGCTGCCCCCAGCCTGAAGAACCCAGATCAACCAAGGGGGGTGCCAGCGGGGAACCCTGATCGCCCCACCAGTCGCCCTGCAGAGGGAGGTGACTGAAGGCAGCGGGGTGAGGGCCCCGCAAGCAGGAGTTCAATTGCTAGCTATGATGTGCACTGACCACCAGGGGGCAGTGCAGAACGAATGAAGGCCCTGGCCTGCAGCTGGAAGGAAGGCTCGGGTCTGCCCTGATCGCTGGCCAGGCCTAGGGACCCTACCTGTGCACAGGGCTCTAGTTTTTTCATATGCTTATTGGCCACCTGTATGTCCACTTTGGAGAAGTGTCTACTTAGATCATTTGCCCATTTTTTAATTGGATTGTTTGTCTTCCTTTTGTTAAGTTGTATGAGTTCCTTGTATATTTTGGATATTAACCCTTTATCAGATGTATCATTGCCAAATATGTTTTCCCATGCAGTGGGCTCCCTTTTCAGTTTGTTGATGGTTTCTTTTGCTGTGCAGAAGCTTTTTATTTCGATGTGGTCCCATTTGTTTATTTTCTCCTTAGTTTCCTTTGCCCTGGCCTAGGAGATGTATCTGTAAACATATTGCTATGAGAGCTGCCTGAGATTTTGCTGCCTGTGGTTTCTTCTAGGATTTTTACAGTTTCACTGCTTACATTTAAGTCTTTAATCCATTTTGAGTTTATTTTGTGTATGGTGTAAGTTGGTGGTCTAGTTTCATTTTATTTTTTTTTTTTTTGCATGTATCTGTCCAATTATTCCCAACACCATTTATTGAAGAGACTGTCTTGACTCCATTATATGCTCTTGCCTCCTTTGTCGGATTGTTTTTTTAATATATTTTATTGATTTTTCACAGAGAGGAAGGGAGAGAGATAGAGAGTCAGAAACATCGATGAGAGAGAAACATCAATCAGCTGCCTCCTACACAACCCCCACAGGTGATGTGCCCGCAACCAAGGTACATGCCCTTGACCGGAATCGAACCTGGGACCCTTGAGTCCACAGGCTGACGCTCTATCCGCTGAGCCAAACTGGTTAGGGCCTTTGTCAGATATTAATTGAGCATAATGGCTTAGGTCGATTTCTGGGTTCTCTGTTCTGTTCCATTGGGCTCTATGTCTGTTCTTGTGCCAGTACCAGGCTGTTTTGAGTACAGTGGCTTTGTAGTATAACTTGATATCTGGTATTGTGATCCCTCCCACTTTCATCTTTTTCAAGATTGCTTCAGCTTCTCGGGGTCTTTCTTGGTTACCTATAAATTTTTGGAGTATTTGTTCTAGATCTGTGAAATATGCCATTGGTCGTTTAATAGGGATTGCATTGAATCTATAGGTTACTTTGGGTAGTATGGACATATTAATGATGTTAATTCTACCAATCCATGAACATGGTATATTTTCTCACTTGTTTATATCTTCCTCTATCTCTTTTTTCAATGTCCTGTAGTTTTCTGAGTACAAGTCTTTTACCTCCTTGGTTAAGTTTATTCCTAAGTATCATAATTTTTTTGTTGTTGCAGTGGTAAATGGGATTGTTTGTTTAGTTTCCCTTTATGATAATTCATTACTGATGTATAAAAAAGCCATTGATTTTTTGGGTGTTAATTTTGTATTCTGCTACATTGCCAAATTAATTTATTAAATGTAGTAATTAGGGTTTTCTATGTACAATATCTTTTATTTATTTATTTTAAAAAATATATTTTATTGATTTTTTACAGAGAGGAAGGGAGAGGGATAGAGAGTTAGAAACATCGATGAGAGAGAAACATCGATCAGCTGCCTCCTGCACACTCCCCACTGGGGATGTGCCCGCAACCAAGATACATGCCCTTGACCAGAATCGAACCTAGGGCCCTTGAGTCCGCAGGCTGACGCTCTATCCACTGAGCCAAGCCGGTTAGTTGATCATAGCAATAGATACAGAAACAGCATTTGATAAAATTCAGCACCCATTTTTTTATTAAAACTCTCAGAAAAGTGGAAATAGAGGGATCATACCTCAACATAATAAAGGCTATATATGAAAAACTGAAAGCTAACCTCATACTCAATGGGCAAAAATTAAAAATGTTTCCCTTAAGAATATTTACTATTGTACCAGCCTGGCATCCGTGGAATAAATCCTGCATGGTCATCATATATGACCTTTTTGACTATGTTGAATAAGAGTGGTCTTGTTCTTATTCTTAAGTAAAACTCTCATTATTCGCAGATGACATGTTATGTACAATATCATGTCATCTGCGAATAATGAGAGTTTTACTTCCTTCTTTCTAATTTGGACGCCTTTTATTTCTTCTTGTCTGATTGCTGTGGCTAGGACTTTCAGCACTATGTTGAATAAGAGTGGTCTTGTTCTTATTCTTAAGGGAAACATTTTTAATTTTTGCCCATTGAGTATGTGGTTAGCTTTCAGTTTGTCATATATAGCTTTTATTATGTTGAGGTATGATCCCTCTATTCCCACTTTTCTGAGACTTTTAATCAAAAAATGGGTGCTGAATTTTATCAAATGCTGTTTCTGTATCTATTGCTGTGATCATGTGACTTTTTCCCATTTTGTTTATGTGATGTATCACATTTATTGATTTGTGAATATTGTACCAGCCTTGCGTCCCTGGAGTAAATCCTGCATGGTCATCATATATGACCTTTTTAATATATCTGTGGGAGCCCGGCTGGCCCTTTCACGCCCCTGCCCCTCCTCCCAGGCTCTGTTCGCTCTCCACTCCTTGTTTATCAGGGTTCTCTCCAGCTGGTCCTCAGTTGATTATTCAGGATGTGTTTGGGGTTTGTTTGTTTTTTTGTATTTTAATTTCAGTTTGGTCCTGGGAGTGTGTCTGTGCAGCATCCACTTATACCGCTGCCATTTTTAACCTGTGCAAGCAGTTCTTTCCAAAACTTACCATCGCAGAGTCCACTGCATTCTAGACTGACAGACGCAAACCTGGAAAAGCAGTTGCAAGTAGCAATATCTTCAACACCAGCTAACAGCACATGCCTCGCCAAAGAGAAGCAGTTCCAGGCATCACATTACGGTGGTTTCAGTAAATGTTTGACCAAATATAGCAGGCTTATTTTTAAGTTGATGATTTTGTATGGCCCACAAAAGATGCTATAAATATCCAAATGGCCCTTGGCAGAAAAAGGACCATTGTTCTAGGTGAAATGAATGAACTAAATGGTAAATGCTAGGAGCCATGACACAGGGTGACAGATATGGGCTAACAGGGTCCAGGCTGGGTTCTACTGTGCTCAAGAGGACTCTCCAGAAGTCCCTGTGAGGACGGTGTAGGGCTTTCCAGGGGGAGCAGGCTCAGGCTGGGCATTTCCTGGAGCCGGGCCAGGTGCGCCCTCAGTTTTAGAGCATGGTGGCTCCCAGCAGTGACCACCACGACTTGGCCCCAGGGCTTGAGGTGTCCAGGAGATAACTGCACCCACTCTCTGGATACCCCAACTGCACAAACCTTTGATGGTCAGTTCCAGTCCTGTTTTACAGAGGACAACTGAGGCACAGACGTGGAAGGGGGCACATGGACTTGGGAACCTGAGCATCCTGTGCTGTCCAAGAAGTAAATACTGAGCTTGGGCCCCCACTCTAAGTCCAGCCCCAGCAGCTCAGATGAGAGCATGCTAATGGGGGAGCAGCCAGCACAGGCAGAGAAGGAACCAGGTATAAAACCAAGTGGCTGCTGGGAGGCCCTGCTTTCCCTTCCCACCACAGCTCTCCATTTTGTGGTGGGAGTCCTGTGCATTTGCATTCTGTGGGCCTGGAAGCTTCCTGGAGTGGGCACCAGAGCTGGAAAGGCCAGGCCTGACAGAAAGGGAGTGGACTCTGGGGAAGGAGGTATTTGTCCAAGGTCACCCATTTTACAGACTGGAAAACTGAGGTTCAGGCAACTTAAATGACCTCCTAGTCGGGGTCACACTGATAGACAGGTGGCCCACTTTTGCAGATGGGGGCTCCAGAGAGGGGAGTATCCCACTCAAGTCACACCATTGAGTCCAACTTCTATCTTGGATCAGGGCGTGGTCACTGTGCAGGCATTGTCCTCTTTGACTGATCCCTTTAGGGCATTAGACGTTCCCCAACCTTTTGCTTCCAGCTTGTACCCCCATGACCTGACCTTCTACATGACCGTAAGTCACTTCCTCTCTCAAAGCCTCAGTTTTAAAAAAAAAATTGGTTTAAATTGATTTTTAGAGAGAAAGGGAGAGAGAAGAAAAAGAATGAGGTGAGAGAGTAACGTCCATCAGCTGCTTCCTGCACGTCCCTGCTGCCATGAGCTTGCAACCTGGGCATGTGCCCTCACCAGAAATCCCACAGGCAGCCAAGCAGGTAGGGCCGGGGGCGGGACCAATCCAGGGAAGGAGCCAATAGGAGGGCACGGCGGGGCCAGGAAGGCGCGCCTGGGCTCTCACAGAGGCTGCCTCGGGCTGGGGGCGTGGCTAGAGTGAGGGGCGGGGCAAAGGGCCTCAGAGAATGCTGTGCCCGGCGAGCGGGGCTGAGGCTCCTGTTAAGAAGGCCTCAGGCTGGCGAGGGCGGGGCTCCGAGAGGCGGGTGCGGGAGCCCAGGCCCGTGGGGGCGGGGCTCAGTGGGGCCGGCTATAGGGCTTGGGTGGTGACATCGTCGTCGGGGGCGGGGCTTAGAGGAAGGGCAGGGCTAAGAAGAGCGGGGTTTGGCGCTTCCGGTGGGGACGCGGCCCGGGACCGCCCTGTTCAGTTGGGGGCGGAGCTAAGGGCTCCGGCGGTCTCTTAGCGGACGCTAGAGCAGCTAAGGCTTGAGGGGCGGAGCTTAGGGGATCAGGGGCGCGGCCTAGCGGGAAAGCGGGGCCTCCATGAGGGCGGGGTTAGGGTTGTGCGGGCGACGTCAAGACGCTGGGGGCGGGGCCTTCCGGGAAGGGGCGGGCCGCCTCGGGCGGTGGGCGGAGGTCAGCGGGGGCTAGCGGGCCGCGGCGGCAGCGGGAAGCCGGGCGGCTGCCGGGGGACAGGTCGGTGCCCGCCGGGGCACCTGTGCGGCCAGCATGACAGGTGAGCGTGGGCTGCGGCCGTGCCTGCAATCCCGGGACGGCACGCGCCCCCGGGGGTCTCCAGGGCCGGCTCCCCACGTCGCCCTGGGGGCCGCTCCTCACTCCTTGCCCCAGTGACCTTGTCCGTGACTGCTACCGCGACCGCGTGCCGGTGACCGCCTTCTCGCTCGGCGGGACGACGGGGGCCGAGGGCGTGGTCAGGCCCTGGAGGGCCCTGGGCGGACTCAGGCCGATGCTCACCTGTGGCCGGGCGGTGCTGGGTGAGGATGCCCCTGACCGAGGGGAGGTGAAGTGCTGGGTCCTGCTGTGCTTGCAGGGGGAGTAACACACTGTCCTGCCAGCCTCCTGACCTGGGTCGCAGGCGCCGCGCGCTTGGGCTGTGTGTGGCACCCAGGGACTCTGGCACCCCTGCACTGCACAGCTGGAGCAGGGACAGGCTCGGGAAAATGGGGGGCTAAGCCTCCAGCAACTACCCCGCCCCCCCCCATGAACTGGAGCTCTCAGCGCACTCCTGACCTAGCGGAGTAGGGCCACACTGCTCTGTGGACCCTCCCCAGTTGGAGAAGCCCCGAGTGATGGGCCATGGCAGACCCATGCAGAGTGGTCAGGGACTGTGGGGGCTCCCAGAAGTCACACCTCATCCCTGAGGGACCCACTCTTCTGCCTCATGGGACAGAACTCACCTGGGGGTGCACCAGGGGGTCAGGTAGGCCCAGAAGGCCCTGTCCTTCCCCCCAGAACTCAGTGGAGTCTCAGAATGGATCCTGCACACTCAGGATTTCAGGGGCTGGAACCTGGTGACTTCTGGGACACCAGGTCCCAGTCTAGGCCAGAAGGGACCCCGCTGTTGCCTTCCCCTCCCCTGTCATTCCTCCGAACCCTTTTTACTTGTGGCTGCAGATGTTACTGTTGCAGTGCTGTGGCTGTGGAATCAGTCCCTGCCTTGTGGTGTGCTAGAGAGAGAGCCGTCTCAGCTCAGCTCTTTCATGCCCAAGGCCAGGTCGGACTCTGAGACAGGAGGGAATCCCGGGAGATTCCATTCGGACTGGAGGCTGAAGCCCAAGCATCTGAAGTGCGTGGGCAAGGCCTGGGGGTCGGGGGCGGGAGGGACAGCGGGCTGAGCCTTAGCCAGGTGGAAACCACTGGGATGGTGTTCTTGCCTGGGGCAGGGCTCCTGGCAGGGTGGTGCAGCTGGGGGCTGGGCGCCAGGTGAGAGCAGTGGGGCCGGCTGACCAGGCCACTAGTGCAGGCGGGTGTCATGAGTCTGTAGTCCTAGCGCCAGCTGGGCATGGAGGTGGGGGAGGTGGGGAGCTGGCAGAATCCTGGTGGGTTTTGTGCCAGAGCATGTTTCTTCCTATATCCTGTAAAAACCATCTGGGACTGTGTATCAGGACCTAGACCAAAGTGGTTTCCTTTTCCGGTGCCTTTTCGTGCCTCCGAGTGGCCGCCTGGGTGTGGTGTGCGTGCAGTTGACAGCAACCACAGGGTGCAGCAGAGCCTGGAGCCTCATCCCACGGGCTGTGGCACTGTGCCAGGTGGTTACAGCTGGGGCAGTAGGATCCCCGCCTGGCTGTTGGCCCGCAGGGCTGGAGGAGCCCCGCAGGGCTGGAGGAGCTGCTGCAGGGTGCTGGCCTAGGTGCACCCACCTCCGTCCATTCATTCCAGAGGTCTAGGGACTGCCTACTGTGTGCCGGCCGCGTGCACAGATGCACATGGGGGAGAGATTCCGGATGTCAAGAGGTGGCCCGACAGTGCCTGGATCCACCTTGACCCATCACTCCCTAGCTGGCTGAGTTGTACTTGCTGTGCCTCAGTTTCCCTATCTGAAATCAGGGGAAGGGGGGTTGTGCTTGCACTGACCCAAGGATGCAGATGACCTGTTCCATAGAATGCCCAGCTGTGGGGCACAGCTGGCTGGGGCCCTTAAGAAGGAGTAATCAGAGTGCCGAAGCCGGGTGGCCGGAGGGTCCTGTCACGTGGCTGTGGCAGGTCCCTGGGCATCCTGCGTGCAGCTTGCTCACTGGTGGGTCTGCTGACGAGTCTGTATTCCAGGTAGATTTCAGGGGCTGGGAGAATTTAGAAGTTAGAGATTTGTTTTCTAGGGTAAAAAGACCCTCGTGTGAGCGGGCATTGGGAGGGCGAGATGAGGAAACAAATGGTCTGTTTAGTCAGCCCCACAGAGGAACTGGGGAGGAGACCCACATGTTCCCACATGATGACCCCATTTAAAAAAGTCACCTTACTGAGTATAAGTTTCTTACAAGTGAATGAGTCATTTTAGTGGATAATTAGGTAAGTTTGGACAAGTGTGTGCACCATGGAACGACCGTGCAGGCCCAGTCAGCCAGAGCATCTCCATCACTCCGTGGTGTCCCTGTGCCCCTGCCCAGGCAGCCCCACCTCAGGGGCATCTGCTTGCTTTAAAATTCAGCAGTGGGATTAGCACCTAGGGTTTCTTTCTATTTACGAGGTTTTATTTTAGAGCAATTTTAGTTTGTAGAACGTTGAGCAAATAGTTCAGAGGATCCGCCCCACCCCCACTTCGGTTCCCAGGATTGTTGACATCTTGCATTAGTATGTGCATTTTTGGCACTTGATAAACCAATTTCATAGATTGGTACTAACTGTAGTTTACGTTATGGTTCACTCCTTGTGTTGTACATTCGACGAGTTCTGAAAAGTGTAAGACGTCCTGTATTCGCCATTATTGTCATACGAGCAGTGTCACTGCCCTAAAACCTTTGCTCCATCCATTCGCCCCTCCTGTTCCCTAACCTCTGGCAACCACTGATCTTTTTACTGTCTCCATCGTTTTGCATTTTCTGTTGGAATCATGCAGTGTGTAGTCTTTTCACATTAGCGTCTTTCACTTTTAGAAATATGCATTTGTTTCCTCCCTATCTTTTCATGACTGCATAGGTATTTTTATCACTGAGTTATATCTCATTGTATGGATGAACCACAGTTTAAATATCCACTCAGTTGTTGTTTTTTTTGGTTGTACCACTTTAACAGTATTTCGGTGGCATTAAATACATTCACAATGTTGTGAAACCATCACCACTATCCATTTCTAGAACTTTTTTATCAAACAGAAACTCTATCCCCAATAAACAATAACGCCCCTTGCTTCCATGCCCCAGCTCCTGATGTTACTTTCTCTTTCTAGAATTTGCCTGTTCTGGATATATCATATCCATGGAGTCACACAATGTTTGCCCTTCTGTGTCTGACTTATTTAAACTTAGCATAATGTTTTCAGTGTCCACCCATAGCATGCGTCAGCATCTCCTTCCTTCTTAAGGCTGAATTATACAGACCACGTTCTGTTTACTCACTCATCCATCAGTTGCTTCACCTTTTGGCTATTGTGAGTAACGCTACTCTGAACACTGATGTTTGTTCAAGAATCTGTTTGAGTTTTCTGCTTTTAGTTCTTTTTTTTCCTTTTTATTTATTTGTTGATTTTAGAGAGAGGAAGGGAGGGGGAAAGAGAGAAACATCAGTTGGTTGTTCCACTTATGTATGTAATCGTTGGCTGACACTGTGTGTGCCTGATTAGGGACCAGACCTGCAACCTTGGTGTATCGAGTTGGCACGCTAACCCTCTGAGCTACCTGGCCAGGACTAAGTTCTTTTTAGTATATACCTAGAAGTGGAATTGCTCAGTTATATGACAACTCTATGTTTAGCTTTCTGAGGAACTATCATACTCTTTTCCACAGTGGCTGCACCATTTTACATGCCCACCAGCAATGTATGAGAATTCCAATTTTTACATCTTCCTTCTCCATGTATATATATCAAACTGAATTCAGCAGCACATTAAAGGAGAATGTAAGGATAGTTCACCCTAATAAATATGAACTGATATTTCATTGTGGTTTGGTTTGCATTTCCCTAATGACTAATGATATGAGCAACTTTTCATGTGCTTAGTAGCCACTTGTATATCTTTGGAGAAATTCCTATTCAAATACTATGCCCATTTTTTAATTGTATTGTTTGTGTTTTTTGTTGTTGGGTTTTAGAAGTTCTTTATGTGTTCTGAATATTATTCCCTTACTAGATATATGCTTCACAGATATTTTCTCTCATTCTGTGGGTTATCTTTTTCACTCTCTGTTTTTTCCACTCAAAATACTATTTATTTCTGGACTCTTTATTCTAGTCCATTGGTCTACATGTCTGTCTTTATGCCACCGCCACATTGTTTTGACTCTTGTAGCTTTTAAGTATATTTTGAAATTAGGAAGTGTGAGTCCTCCAACCTTGTTATTTTTCAGGATTGTTTTTGCTATGAGGGTTCCTTGATATATGAATTCTAGGATGCTTCGTTTCCGCAAAAATCATCATTGGGATTTAGATTGGGATTATATTGGATTTGCAGATCACTTTGGGTAGTATCGTCATCTTCACAATATTAAGTCTTCCGGTCTATGAACATGGGATGTCTTTTCATTTATTTGTGCCTTGTTCCATTTCATTCAGCAGTCCTTTTTGTAGTTTCCAGCGCACCAGTCGTTCACCTCATTGGCTAAACTTACTCCTTAGTATTGTATTCTTTTTGATGCTACTATAAATAGAATTGTGTTATTTTTTTTATTTTTCACTGTTAGTGTATAAAAAAGCAAACGGTTTTCTGTGTGTTGATTTTGTATCTTGCAACTTTGCTGTGAATATATTAGTTCTAACAGGTGTCTTTTTTTAAAAAAACATTGGGGTTTTCTATATATAAGATCATGTCATCTGCAAACAGAGATAATTTTACTTCTTCCTTTCCCCCGCTTTTCTTGCCTAATTGCTCTGATGAGGACTTCTAGTACTATGTTGAATAAAAAATAGTGAGAGTGGGTATCCTTGTCTTATTTCTTATCTTAGAGGAAAAGCTTTAGTCTTTCACTATTGAATATGATGTTTGCTGTAAACTTTTCCTATATGACCTTCATTATGTTGAGAAACTTCTTCTATTTCTAATGTATTGATTTTTTTAAATCAAGGAAGTGTATTAAATTTTGTCAAATTGTTTTTTGCATCACTTGAGGTGATCTTTTGTTTTTCTATTAATGTGATCTATTATAGTAATGTTTTTCATGTGTTGAACCATCCTTGCATTCTTGGAATAAATTCTTTTTTTCCCCCCAAATATATTTATTTTTATTGATTTCAGAGAGGATGGGAGAGGGAGAGAGAGATAGAAACATCAATGATGAGAGAGAATCATTGATTGGCTGCCCTCTGCACGCCCCCCTACTGGGGATGGAGCCCACAACCTAGGCACATTGCCTGACCAGGAATCAAATCATGACCTTCTGGTTCATAGGTTGACGCTCAACCACCGAGCCATGCCGCCAGGCCTGGAATAAATTCTTTTAATATGCTGCTGAATTCAATTTGCTAGTATTTTGTTGTGGATTTTGCATCAGTATTCATAAGCAATATTGGTCTATAGCTTTCTTGTAGTGTCTTTGTATCATGGCTTTGGTATCAAAGCAATGTTGGACTCAAAGAGTGAGTTATGGAGTGTTCCCTCCTCTCCAGTTGTTTGGAAAAGCTTGAGAGGGATTGGTGGTAGTTCTTCAAATGTTGGTAGAATTCACCAGTGAAGCTGTCTGGTCCTGGGCTTTTACTTGCTGGAACAATTTTGATTACTGATTTAGTCTCTTACTAGTTATACATCTATTCAGATTTTCTATTTCTTCATGAGTCAGCTTTGGTAGTTTGTGTGCTTTTAGGAATTTGTTCATTTCATCTAGGTTGTCCAATTAGTTGCCATTCAAATGTGTATAGTGTTCTCTTATAAGCCTCCCCCCACCGCCCCTGTAAAATTGGTAGTAATATCCCAACTTTAAATTCTGATATTAGTAATTTGAGTCTTTTTTGTTGTTGTTGTTAGTTTGGCTAAAGGTTTTGTTGATTTTTTCAATGAACCAACTTATGGTTTTGTTGAATTTTTTACTGTTTTTTTCTCTATTTCATTTACCCGCACTCTAATATTTTTCAAAAATATGTTTTTATTGATTTCAGAGAGAGGAAGGGAGAGGGAGAGAGAGAGAGAAACATCACGAGAGAGAATCATTGACTGGCTGCCTCCTGCACACCCCCTACTGGGGATCGAGTCTGAAACCAGGCATGCACCCTGACTGGAATCGAACTGTGACCCCCTGGTTCATAGGTCGATGCTCAACCAACTGAGCCACGCCAGCTGGCTGCACTCCAATCTTTATTATTTCCTTCCTCCGGCCTCTTTGGGTTTAGTTTGCTCTTTCTCTAGTTCCTTGAAGCATTAGGTTATTGAGTTAAGATATTTCTTCCATAAATTCCCCTCTCAGCACTGCTTTCACTGCATCCCTTAAGTTTTGATATGCTGGGGGGGTTTTCATTTGTTTCAAGGTATTTTCTATTTTCCCTGTGACTTCTTTGATCTGTTGGTTATTTAATTTTCACATACTTGTGAACTTTTCAGTGTTCCTTCTACTGTTGATTTCTAGCTTTATTCCATGTGATCAGAAAAGATCCTTTGTATAATTCCAATATTTTTAAATCAATTAAGACTTGTTTTGTGGCCAAACTTGTTTTGATGCCTACCTTGGAGAATGTTCCATGTGCACTGAGGAGAATGTCTATTGTTACTGTGTGGTGGAGTGCTGTTTATATATGTGAGACATTCCTGCCCTGGACGGTTTGCTCAGGGTCACGGGTTCGGTCAGGGGCACGCACTGCGGTTGCAGGTCCTCCAGCCCCGGAGGCAACCAATCCATGTGTCTCTCTCACGTCTATGTTTCTCTCTCTCCCTCCTCCCTGCCTTCCACGCTCTCTAGAAATCAGTGGGGAAAATATCCTGCACCCTGGGCAGGCACACGGCCTGCTGCAGACAGGCTGAGGGTGATGCTGTCTGGGGTGATGATTAAAAATAGAGAAATTCCCAGGGTTTCAGGAGCTGTGTGCCAGGAAGCGGGACAAAGACCAAATGTATATTTCTTATAAATCATAACATCACAGATAAATTTTGCCAGTCTCTGCCTTTGATGGGACAATTTAATTTATTTAGATGTAAAGCAATTACTGATAGAAATAACTTGTTTCTGCCTTTGCTATTTCTTTTCTGTATGTCTTGTAGCTTTTTTGTCCTTCAGTTCTTCCACTACTGCCTTCTTTTGTGTTTAGTTGGTTTTTTGCAGTAACAATATAGTGTGGCAATTTTCTTTGTGGTTACCATGAGATCATACATACTCTCCTAAACTTATAGCAATCTAATTTGAATTGATACCAACTTAACTCCAATCACATACAAACACTCTTCTCCTATACAGCTCTGCCCGCCCCCCCTGCCCCTATGTCCACCGGGAAGCGGGACAAGCTGGCACAGGTAGGTAAGTAAGGCGGTGCGGTGCATCTGTTCAGGCAGCTGGTGCTCAGGGACTCAGCATCCTCCCTTGGAGACCCTGTGCCCCCACCTGCCAGCCTTTACCCCACCCTTCATCTTTAAAGGCTTGTCATTGTAAAGAATGTTCTTAATGGAAAGAAGGTGCAGCGACGATGTTGTAATGGTGATTCTGAAAGAAAAGACAAAAGAAGAAGCCTTCCCAAACACCCCAGGCAGGCACATGGCCTGCTGCAGGCAGGCTGAGGGCGATGCTGTCTTCCTGTGACTCACGGTCCTGCCGCCCTGCCACCACAGCCCCCGAGCCTGCGCGCTGGCCCCGGGACATGTGCCTGTGGAAGCCGTGGGTCGGGCCTTGCCCAGGCTGCCTGTGCCCTTCCCAGGCCTGGGTATCTCCCGCGGGCTTTGTGGGGGCCCGCGAACAGCAGACTCTTAGCCCCTGAGTTTATTTCAGAGAAGAGAGGGGCAGAGGCCTGTCCCACACTGTGGACAGTTCTCACTGCACCCACCACCCCATCTTCAGGCCAAGGGGTTGGCAGGACATGGAGGGCTCTGGGCTGTGCGTGAGGCCCATGCAGGCTGGGGGTCAGCAGCTGTCCCGGTGCTTACAGCGGCGTGCCTCCCTGGCCTGGGCCCGCTGACTGAGGCCCCCTGCGCTCCTCTGCCTGTTTCAGAGCAGACCTACTGCGACCGGCTGGTGCAGGACACGCCTTTCCTGCTGAGCCCTGGGCACCTGAGCGAGCAGCAGGTGGACAGGATCATCCTGCAGCTGAACCGCTACTGCCCCCAGATCCTCAGCAACAAGGATGCGGAAAAGGTGAGGGGCGGGCCTGGGGGGCGGTGAGGAGAGCTCGAAAGTGAAGACCTGTCTCTTTGGGTGACCTTGGGCCCAGGGCTGGAAGTATCACGGGAGACATGTGACAACACGCCACAATGTGACATACCTGGGAGCGGGGAGCGGGGGAGCAGGGGTGCTGGCTAGGCCCCACCCTGGCATCACAGGGCTCTTCCGAAAGGTCATAACGGGCACATATTTTAGCTGTCATCTGGCTCAGCTGTTTGTGGACACTGGGTAAGAGTGGGTGACCTTGCCTGCTATCCCTGCTTCTCTGGCTCCCCCATGGGGCTGAGGTGGGTGCCAGGGATCAGCCAGGACTTTGGGGTCCAGAGCCTGCTGCCCCACGGGGTGACTGGGCTGCAGCTCCCTGCCTTGGCACAGGGAGGGGTGGGTCCCGGCAGATTGGAAGCGCAGGGACTGCTATGGGCTGCTTTCTCAAGTCGTGGAAGTAGCACAGGAAGTGAAAAAGGAGGAGCCCAAATTTGTATTGCACTGTTGAAATTAAAAGTCTAACACACATTCATTGTAAAAACCATTTGAACAGTTTCCCATGTTTGTACAGGAAAAAGGACACTCAGGCCTGCACTTACCTCCCCATTGTGTCCATGTGGAATGGTATTTCGCCACTAGGTGGCAGCACCAAGCTATGGCCTCCAGATCCTGGAGGTCAATGCCACGTGCCATGTCCACTGACCTTTAGAACTACACATTTCTCCATCAGACACATCAAAGGCGCCAGTTCTTTCCTCCTTACCCCTTTTAAATACTCGCATCACATTCCTGTAGACCCGTGGTCGGCAAACTGGCTCGAGAGCCACATGCGGCTGTTTGGCCCCTTGAGTGTGGCTCTCCCTAAGCCTTAGGAGTACCCTAATTAAGTTAATAACAATGTACCTACCTATATAGTTTAAATTTAAAAATGTGCTCTCAGAAGAAATGTCAGTTGTACTGTTATTTGGCTCTGCCGACCGCTGCTGGACGATAAACCACTAGAAGTGATCATGCCATCGCCTCAGCGCTGCCCTCACCAGCCCTGCAGGGGGCTCAGCACTCCCTTTCCACCACAAGCAAAGCAAACCGAGGCTTCAGTTTGCTGAGGTCACAAACAGGCCGCTGGGTTCCCACACGGATAACGTCCCTGCCGCCTTCCTTGGTGGCTGCTTTCCATGTCACGGGAGTGCGAGGACTGGCCGTGCTGTGACCCAACGCAGTCTTGGCACCGTGAGGCCGTGGTTCAGTCACTCTCTGCAGGGGCGTTCGGAGCCCCTGGTCGGAGGCACCTCCCACGAGAGAGCTGGAGCCAGTGGGGGGGAGGGGCGGGCGCGGCCCCTGAGGGCCTGACTGTCCTTTGTGTGCCTCCTGCCCCAGTTCCGGAACCCCAGGGCATCCCTGCGCGTCCGGCTCTGTGACCTGCTGGGCCACCTGCAGCGGAGCAGCGAGCGGGACTGCCAGGAGTTCTACCGCGCCCTCTACATCCATGCCCAGCCCCTGCACCGCCGCCTGCCCAGCAGGCACACCGGGCGTAAGTGCACGGCCAGCGCCGGGCCTCAGCATCCACCTGCTCGGCCAGAGTCCTCCCGCCACCGCATCTCCTCTCTGTGGTCCCAGAGCGGAGGGAGGGTGCCTGGCCACACAGATATCTCTGTCTTCCTGTCTCTGTCTCTTTCTTTTGTGCCAGTTTTTTACACAAAAGGTAGCATCTGCCTCTTCCACCTGTAACCCAGAGCATTGTGGGAACCCTCCCCTTGCTGACCGCACCGCCCCAGTTGGGCCAGCCTGAGTGAACCGGCCCGTGGTGGGTGCTGAGCTGTGTCCCTTTGACCTGCCGGGCCCAGGACAGGGACGCGCAGGCCCGACGGCAGCCCAGTCCTGAGGCGTCTGCACCAGGCCCAGGAGGAGGGGCTACTCTCCCCGAATCTTAGAATTTAGAGGCCCCCAGGGACGGGGTGGCTCACTCAGGCCATCAGCCGTGACGCCGGGCTGGCATCTGCCCCACGACGGGCGGCAGGACTGGCTCTGGGCGCCGGCACCGATGGTGCTGTCACGCCAGCCGTGGCGCCCTCCGGCCCTGCGCGGCCCGGCTCACGGGTGCCCTCGAGGGTGTGTGGCGGGCGGCCACTTGGGGAGGCCGGGGAGAGAGCACCTGCTGACGTGGGCATCACCAGACCTTTGACAGGCACCTCATGGTCACGAGGGAACAGTGCCCCCCCTCATGACTCCCAGGGTCCCAGGAAGTGGACAAAAGGAGACCCCCAACTATGCAGGGTCCCTTCCCCAGCACCAGCTCCACCACGCGGGCCGGAGGCTCAGTGACAGCACAGCCTGGTCCAGCTCTGCCAGGGGCTGGGGGCCCCGGGGGCAAAGGACCTCGGCAGCCCCCTTGGCTTTCTGAGGCCAGCGACCACTTTCCTCTCTGGCCCCCACCAACTGCGCCTCTGCTTCTGTTTCCAGAGAACTCCGACCTGGAGTGCACAGACCTGGACTTGGGCACCGCCAGCCACGCGCTCAGCGACAGGGGTAACTGCCGCCCCCACCCCGGGCTCCCCTCCGCCCCGGGGTCCCCTCCACCCCGGGGTCCCCTCCACCCCGGGCGCCCCTCCACGGTGGGCTCTGGCCATGTTGAGATTGCTCCCCGTGGACAGATCCCCCAGGGTGCTCCCTGGGGGTGCCCCACCCAGCTGACCCCACCTGGGTCCTAGCCTGTCCCTCGTGGCCCGAGGACTGCACCCGCCCTCAGGGGTACAAGAGCCGCTCACCCATGCTTCTCCCCCAGGACCCATGGCCTTCCTGGCCTGCCTCGGCCTGGCCGCGGGGCTGGCCCTCCTCGTCTACTGCTGCCCTCCAGGTGGGTGCCACTCAGCGCGGCCTGGCCCCGAGCCCAGGACAGAGGCTTCCCCTCCCGCCCCCGGGGCACAGTGCCCGCCCGGCTCTGCAGGAAGCCCGCCCGGCTCTCCGTGCCTCTGTGTTCCCACCGCAGTGGGGCAGTGGCCGGCTGAGGGGAGAGGGTGCGGGGCCCAGTGGTGGTGGCCCCAGTTCCTGCACTTGGCCCTCAGTGACCCCTCCAGGGGTCAGAGAACGAGGCCCCTTTGGGAGGAGGGGTGCATGAAGCAGGGCTCAGGGGTTAGAAAGCGCTGCCTGCGTGGGGCCTGGGGTCCCCTCCAGTGTCATGGCCCTGACGGGTGGCCAGAGGCCCAGGGCTGAGGCCCCCAGGCCCGGCATGGCCCCACCGTTCCTTTCTGGCCACGTTGAGATTGCCGAGGTCCTGGGGTCAGTGCCTGGCCGCCTGCTCGGCGGTGCGAGCCGCGTCACCTGGGTGTGGGCTGGCAGTGCCGAGAGGCCCTAAGACCCCCATGTGCTCCAGACCCCAAGGTGCTGCCAAGGGCCCGGCGCGTCCTGGGCTTCTCGCCGCTCATCGTGGACAGACACGCCAGCCGCTTCCTGCTGGCCTTCCTGGCGGCCGAGCTGGGGGGCCTCTGACGACCAGCCCCCCTCCAGCCCCCCTCCGCCCACTGCACACCAAAGAGCCCGCCTCCCCCGCCGGGGCCTCCTCTTGCCTAAAGGCTTGGATCTTGAAGGCACGTTCTCATCTTGCCAAGCTGTTCAGTGAATTAAACGGGAGTCTCCTGCCTTCTCAGGAGTGCTTTTGGGTGATCCTGACCTGAGACTCCACACACCTCAGGCAGAGGCTGCCCCTGAGGCTCAGGCCGCACTCCCCACCATAGGCCCCCTGCTCTGCCCGACCCAGACATCCCCCCCACTGCCCTGCCATGTCCCCCGCCCTCCACGGCCTCCTTCCAGTGCTCTCCTGAGCTCCCACCTCCCACACTCACCGCCTCACCTCCGCTCCGCCTGCCCCAGGCCCGTGGGGGGGGGGGGGGGGCCGGGGAGAGCACTCACCACCCGCCTCTGCACCAAGCCTGGGCTGTGGGCCCTGCCTGCCTGTGCCGCCCGGTGAGGCCGAGGCCAAGGTGGAGGCTGGTCAGCCGAGAAAGAGGACCCTGCACGGGGCATGCAGGCTGAGCCACATTTCCTCCCCCGCGGCCGGTCCCCACAGGCACCCGTGGAACAGCGCCCTTCACCCCCACCCACCTGGGAGGGGATGGCAGGTAGCAGTGGTTCAGAGCCTGGAAACAAACACCAAGTCTTGTCCGGGATCCCAGGAGAAAGGGAATCCAAACTGAAAACAGCCCAAGGAACATTCTAGAAGTTTTAGAGATGAAAAACATCATTGTGCTTTCCCAAGTCCTGAGCTCTGGCTCCTTAAGCCCTCGATCAGCTGCTGGGGTTTGGCACTGCTGTTCCTCTTCCTCCTCAGTGCATGGCCCCTGCCCAGGTGCTGCCCCCACCCCCCATCTCCTCTGGCTCACGCTGTGGGAGTAGCTCATGCATGAGGGTGAGCGTCACGTGTGGGGCCCGGCACTGCTCCCGGGACTCACTGCTACGGCTCTGCTGCGGACACGCTGGCTCCCCACGGGCCTGATGGGCGCCACCCTCCCCTTGTTGGGCCTGTTGCCACCTTCTGACAGGTGGGGGATCCGAGGCTTGGAGCCCAGGACCACACAGAAGCCGAGAGTGGGCTCCACCGCCCTCCCCACACGTGCACAGGCACAGGCAGTCATGCATGCACGCAAACACATGCATATGCGCAGCTCTTCTGTCCACGTGCACACGCATGGAGAGCAGGCTGTGGGCTCGGCCTGGCCCGGTGGGTCCTCTTGTGACTGTCTCCCTCTGCCAGCCTCCCCCCGCCCCTTTGGGGAAACAGAAGCATATTTGTCAACCCAGGAATCATGAGTTTGTGTTTTCCACGGAGGCTTCCGGTGGCACGAGGCACAGAGGAACCAGCTCCAGGACACGGGGTCTGCCCTTGGGGAAGTGGGTGCAGGAGCCCTCCCCGTGCCAGGCAGCCAGGACGGTGGCTGGCCACTCGCTCCACCACTCGGGGCTGCAGGCTGGGGCATCTGTGCGTGGGCACCTAGCTGGGCGCTGCTCCTCGGGCACACTGGGTAGCACTGCCCAGCAAAGCTGTCCCTGCGTGTCGCCCCACCCGCTGACCGCCTTACTGGGCACGTGGCCCAGGCAAGTTTCTGGGGCAGTTATTGCCCCCTAGTGGGCAGGTGAGCGAGGGGACGCCTCGGGGCCTGGCTCAGGGTCGGGGGTGAAGGCTGTGGTGAGCCTGCTGCCCACTCCCCAATGGGAGAATGTGTGGCGCTCCAGCCCCATGTCAGCCATCGCCCAGAGGCCCTGAGGCGAGACGGGACTAGTGCCTGTGCCACTTCCAGGGTGAGCTCGGCGGGGGCTGGGCAGGTCCCCAGGCCAGCAGACCCCTGCACTCAGCCTGGCACGGCCTGTCCATCTGCAGCTTCTCCCACCATGGCCGGGCAAGGTCCTGGTTCCTGGGTGAAGGTCTGCGGGCAGAAGCTGGGGGTGTTCTCCATGCTTGTCCTGCGCCCTGAGACACGGCTGGGAAAGGCGACAGGCAGCGCTGGGTGAATGTGACAAGGATGCGATGTCCATGTGAAGGTGACTGACAGAGATGCCAGGGGGCAGAGGCCCCAGGGGGCAGGGGGCGGAGGCCCCAGGGGGCAGGGGCAGACACCTGTCTGCAGGTTGCAGACTGAGAAATGAGTGCTTGGGTCTAAGCAGCCCAGGCTGCGGACTCCATCACAGCAGCCTGGACAGACTGAGGCAGGTCCAACAGACAAGCGGCCCAGCTGCCCTCACCTCAGGCGCCTGAGGCCCACGGCTCCCTCCCGCGTGAGGCGAGCTCAGTGCTGTCCCAGGGCCTCGGTCGCCCAGGAGCTGTGAGGCCAGGGTGCTTGTCTCTGGCTGCGGCTGGGCCACTTCCTGTGCTCCTGATGTTTTCTTTTATCCACGACCCCCAAGTCCTGCCCTCGAGGCCCCAGGCCCGCCCTTGAGCCCAGGCCGCCTTGGAGCTTCCTCAGGTCTCCGCCCCACGCCCTTCCCAGCGGTGCCTGGACTCTGCCTGGAGCTGGGGACCCGGCAAGGCCTCCCCTGGGCTGGGCTCGGGGAGGGAGAAGCGGGCAGCCCCTGTCAGTCAGTGCTCGCGACCTGGGGTGAGTGAAGCCCATCGGCACCGACACCACAGGCACAGCCTCTCCTGGTGACCCGCCCGCAGGACCTCACTGCTTGTCCCCAGCTTCCCCTGCCACACGCTGGTGAGGACAGGCTCGTGGCCACGCCTCCCACCTGTGCAGTGCTGCTCCCTTGCCTGGAGCACTCCTTCCTGCTCCCCAGCACCTCCTACTCCCGCTCAGGCCCCGGGCAAAGTGCCACCTCCTCCGGGAAGCCCTGCCCAACAGTCCATGTGCCGCACGGTGTTCACTGCACATCAGACCACACGCGCAACAGGGCCGTAGGTCTGACTGGAGCCTCGAATCCCTCTCGCCCAGCACCTCCTGGCTGGAACTCGTAGGCAGGCATCCCTCACGGGCTCGTGGCGAGGCTGCTGACAAGCCGGCCGACCACCGGTCATAGAAAAAGCGCAGCACGTGCAAGTGTGCACAGGACATAGCCTCTGACAGTAACATCACTGTTACTGTTCATGTGTTTACTATTTATACTTGTTATGGGGGAGTATACTCTTCCTACTTATAAAAGAAAAAGTTTGCTGTAAAACAATATGCCAAGCTAAGCTGGCAGCAGCCTCATGCATCTCTTTACCGCGTCTCTCTCTTTTTAAAATATTTTATTGATTTTTTACAGAAAAGAAGGGAGAGGGACAGAGAGTTAGAAACATCGATGAGAGAGAAACATCCATCAGCTGCCTCCTGTACACCCCCTACTGGGGATGTGCCCACAACCAAGGTACATGCCCGTGACCGGAATCGAACCTGGGACCTTTCAGTCCGCAGGCCGATGCTCTATCCACTGAGCCAAACCGGTTAGGGCTACCCCGTCTCTTGAGCAAATCATTTTCTCTGGCGCTCGATTTATTCTCGTTGTTTTGTTCACTGTGGCCGCTCAGCAAACAAGTCCACCGCCGACGCCAGCGAGACACACCGAGGGACGCCTGGGGAGGAAGGCAGAGATGGCGAACAAGGTTACAGAGGTCGACAGCCAGGCCACTGCTGGGCAGGCGGGCGTCACCTCAGCCTCGGTCTTGAACAAGAGGAGAGAGAGGAGAGAGAGAGAGAGAGAGAGAGAGAGAGAGAGAGAGAGAGAGAGAGAGAGAGAGAGAGAGAGAGAGAGAGCCGGCGCTGTGGAAGCATCTGCTCCCCGGATGCCTCGGGACCCACGGATCCAGCAGCTCCTCTCCTCCCTGGAGCAGCGCCCGGGCCTGGAGGGAAGGCGGCCGCAGCGGGTCCCGGGCACCAAGGTCACAGCCACCGGACAGGTCGCTGGTGTAGAGAGCGGCCAGGCCTGGCGCAGGCTGAGGCTGCTGGCTCTGGCCGGTGGGAGCAACTCAGGGCCCGGCATTCCCTCCCCAGTGAGCCGAGCGCGGCTGCGAGAGCTGCTGGAGGCGGCGGGAGGGCGGAGGCTCCGGGGAGCTGACTGTAAAGGAAACGCCGCGGGGACCCTTCCCGTGGGTGGAGCCGCCCTACCTGGGCGCCGGGGAGGCCCTGGTCCACAGGGAGGCCGCAGGCCGGCCGCTTCTAGGAGCGAGAACAGCCTTGCCCGGGGCCAGGGCAGGGCCCCCGTGGAGACCCTGTGTCTGGCACCGTGAGACCCCTTCCCGCGTGTCGGGAGCGCGCACGCCAGGGACCTGCGGAGCAGTGAGCATCCTGGGCGCGGCTCCTCTCCCAGATGCCGCCTCACTGCCGGCGGGAGATGGGGAAGGGCTGCGTGGGGAGCAACACACTTGCAGGATGTGCCGACTGTGGACAGGCGCCCTTTGTGGGTGCTCTTCACCCCGATCTCCAAGGGGTGTGCATCCTTTCAACCCCCTCTCTCGCCAGGAACCGGGGGTGCAGCCTTTGGCGTGTCCTGAGGCCGCCCTGTGCCTGGTTGCTGCGCAGCTGGGAGGCCGGGTGCCACTCCAGGGTGACGGCGTCCATGCTGCACCCAGAGCCTCGCTGTGCGTCCCCAGCGAGTCAGGACTGTCACTCAGGAGAAGACACTCGCGAGGTTCGTCCATGACGTCAAAGGCCTTGCCAAGCACGAGGAGCTGCCAGCGCAGCAGCTGCGGCTGAGAGGCCCAGGGCTCCCCTGGGCGGGGAGGGGGTCGCCCTGCGGAGCTCCTAGCGGTGGGCCCTGAGGAGCTGCTGAGGGAGGAGCTATTGGACCTGGAGCAGGAACGCGGAGCTGAGAAGAGCCAGAGAAACGGAAGCTGCAGGAGAGGGAAAAGAAGAAAACCCCCAAGAAGACGCGCAGTGAAGAGTTCAGCGGAAGCTGTTGCAGAGCTCAGCAAGCTCCTGGAAAAGTCTGGAAGCACCTGGCAGGAGAGGGCTGGTGCCTGCTAGTTTCCATGGAACTGGGAGTCTCCTGACTCCCTCCTGGCCCCTCTCCATCTTGGGCTGACAGCCGACGACTGAGCCTCCTTTGCTCAAACCTCTGACAACTACAAAGCACTGGAGGCCGGAGGAGCCAAAGTAAGTGGCTGGCCACGGTGTGTGATGGGCTGGGGAGCACCTTCCCTTCCGAAGCGCCGTCTCCCGTTTCCCGGCAGCTCTGCTGCCACCTCAGAACAGACAAATCATGAATGAGCAGGATGTTGAATGAGCTACAGTGGTCAGCAAACTCATTAGTCAACAGAGCCAAATATCAACAGTACAACGATTGAAATTTCTTTTGAGAGCCAAATTTTTTAAACTTAAACTGTATAGGTAGGTACATTGTTATTAACTTAATTAGGGTACTCCTAAGGCTTAGGAAGAGCCACACTCGAGGGGCCAAAGAGCCGCAGGTGGCTCGCGAGCCGCAGTTTGCCGACCACAGAGCTAGAATGTTGCGAGAGCATAGTAAGTGCCTACCTCGATATGGAAGTACACGTATCGCGAGCTTTCCCAGCGGGCAGTGGCCTGGTGCAGGGCCTGGGCAGCTACCCGCGGCCAAAGGGGGGCCCTGCGGGTGGAGAAGGCAGTCAGCGTGAGCCTTGGCTGAGTGAGCGTCACCTGCTGAGCGGCTGCCGGGGCCTGGACGGGCCTCCTGCTGTCCCCCATCCTGAGGCGGGTGCAGGCACAGGGCCAGCAGAAGGGGGCCCCTTTGCACGGGCAGCTCACCACCCAGGCCCTGGGAGCTCTGCCTCACAGAACACAGGGCCGAAAGCACCTGGTTTTCATGGCAAAGCCCCACCCCAGAGCCCCTTTAACATGTTAATTAAGTGCAATAAATTTTTTTAGAAAATGGCAAAAAAAAAGTTTGAAAGCATGGACCCCAACACCAAAAGGTTTTCATTGATAGAGAGGAATGTTCATGGAGCATTATATGCTTGCAACATAATCTATGATTCAAAAAAGAAATAAATTGCCCTAGAGGTGCTCAGTGGTTAGAGCACCGGCCTGTGGACTAAAGGGTCTTGGGTTTGATTCCCAGTCAAGGGCACGCACCCGGCCCAGGTCAGGGTGTGTGTGTCTCTCTCACATCGATGTTTCTCTCCTCCCTCCCTCCCTTCCACCATCTCTAAAAATCAATGGGAAAATATCCTCGTGCTTAAAATAATTAAAATAAAATAAAATGAGCAAATTGCCACTGACATAGTTCTGAACCGAGCGGCACCTTCCTCAAGGTGGAGTTGGGTCTCAGTGGCTCTGGCCCAGGAGGGGCTGCTGCAAGCTGTATGACACAGTTCTTGTTTTCAGAGCCCGAGATGCAGCTGCATCTTGCACAACACGGGGTTCCCCTTGGCAAGGGGGGCGGTGACTGTGGGCACCGGGCCGCAGGGCACTGACGCTGCTGGAACGGCTTGTTTACAGCTCCCACTGACTCAGCTCAGAGGCAGTGCTCCGAGGGAGCCCCGCCCGCCATGCTCCCCTGTGTCCCCCCAAACTTCTGCCCTGCGTCAGGCCCCTGCCACACAGGCCCTGGACCCACAGCATGATAGAGCCCAGCTTGCAGGGCTCAGGAGATGAAGAGATGGAGGACCTGTCCTGCCCTAGGCCTGCCCCTGAAGCCTGCGTTGGCTCCCCTGTATATCAGGGGCAAGAAGGGGACCCCTTTAGGGACTGGGGCCCTCCATCAGCACTGGCCAGGTGGCAGCTGGGACCTCATCTCCTGCTGAGAGGACCCCAAGGGCAGGCGCCGCTGGGCTAGGGAGGTTCCTTCTCGGCCCCCTTGCCCCACCCTGTCCGCTGTCACCTCCTGGGGGCGAGAAGGCCTGCCCTGGCCTCCCGCGCCCTCTCTCCTTCAAGGTGGCTGGGGTTTTGAGTGTGGAAGGTGAGGGTGAAGAGCCAGGACAGGGAGGCCTGCAGCGGAAGCCAGGCCTGGACACCGCGGGTCAGCCGGACATGAGTGGACGCGGTGCCCTGGGGTGCACGAGGACACCCTGGGGCCCCCACCCTGAGTGGGAGATGCCTGCCAGTCTCTGGTACAGAGCTGCTCCCTCACCCTTACCCCATCTGTCCGTCTTCTCCTGTCTGGCATTTGTGTCTGTCGATCACTCACCTATCATCTATCACTTATGTATCCACTTCTCTTTCCTCTGTTGATCAAGTATTCAATTATCTTCCCGTATCTATCCATCTTTCACCTACCAATCAGTTACTCTATCATCTCTTGGTCCATTCATCCATCATTGTCCAACTTTTACAGAAAGAAGGCTAAGCATACAGTCCCCTGCCCTGTCCCACTCAGAACCCGACTCAGGCTCCTCGTGCGGCTCCCTCCCCACCCGACCACTCCAGGCTCCCCCAAGGCCATGCAGGCCACAGGCAGGGCTCGCCCTCCTCCTGTGAGCCCTCCCCAAACCCCCTTCTCTCTGGTGTCCCTCCAGGACACCCCACACCCGTGTGCATCTCCTGCTCCTTAGACCCTCACTCATTCTTGGGGTCTCCCATGTCCCCTGGGAGGGCAGCTGAGCTGCAGGGCGGCGCACGGGAGAGGTGGGAGGAGTGGCGTGTGCGGGTCCAGGAGGAGCCCTGAGAGTTGGCTCTGCTCCACCCCGCTCTGGGCCTCAGCACACATGGATGAGTGAGAATGCTGTAGACACCTACTGAAGACCTACTGTGTGCCGGACACAGTCCATGGGTGGGGGCACCCGTGGGGAGACCTGGCCGACCAAGGTCCCATAAGTAGAAGCACAGGCATGAATGGGAAATATCGCCCCTCTCTGGCAGAACGCCTCCGCGTGGGGAGACTGGTGGGCAGGACGGGTTGCAGCCTGGTCTTAGGCCGGCATGGTGAGGGTGGGCGGGGCTCAGACAATGGCCAGGGGGACATGGTGGCCAGTGAGTCCAGCCCACAGCTCTAAAGGCCGAGTAAACCCAATGGCCCCCTGTGGTAGTGACAAGTAGAGGGTCGAAGGCCTGGGGAGGACTGCAGGGCTGCACACTGTCCCCAGGAGGTGGCGGCACGTTCCAAGGCCCAAGACGGGGGCATGTCTGGAGTGAGGGTCAGGGCTGGAGTGGCTGCTGAGGTTTGAGCCGGGAGCTAGTGTGTTGGGAGGTGGAGGCCATCATTGCCTGGTGGGCACCTTGGGATGGGGCTGTCCCCAATGCCCCCAGCACCCATGCAGGCCACCGGGCTTGGTGGCCCAGCCCCCCATCTGGGGCTGCCCCCGGCTGCGTCCGAACAGACTTCCGGTCCTGGCCGAAGAAGGAACCAAGCCGTGTGCTGGCCACATCGGAGGCGCTGCCATTGCTCCCGTGGCTGCGGGCCACAGGCCACGCGGGACAAGGTGCAGGGGGCGTTTGCCTGGACACTGGGGTGGCCAGGAGCAGGGCTGAGGGGCTGCACACGGCCAGGTGGAGGGGACAGTCCACAGCTGGGAGCCTGAGAGGGGAAGGTAAGATGAGACCCTCTGCCCACCCAGCCACTGTCCACTCTGCCCACTTGCTTTTCCTGGACCTCATCCACAGGGGCCTCCTTTAGAAACTCTCTCCACAGGACCCCAGGCCCCCCAAGCAGGGCTGCCCGGCTCGACCCAGGTCGCAACACTTTCGGAACATGCTTCAGCATTTCCTGTGCTCATGCCGGATGTCTCGCCCACAGGCACTTCTGTTTATCCATCCCTTGGTGCCAAGCTGACCTTCTCGCCCCACAGACCAGGCGGCAGGGTCACCTGACCATCTTAAGGGACCTGGGTGGGTATGGGAAGAGGAGTGAAGACGACAGGGGTTCCCCGGGATCCCAGGCCCCCGAGGGTCCCAGCTGAGGCCAGGCCCCCACCAGGAGATGGGGGAGCAGGGGTCCTGGTGGAGGAGATAAAGGACAGAGTGAGGGCTCAGGTCCTGGCGGCCTTGGGGTGAATGGAAGGAGCTGGGGGTTCCAGCCAGGTGAAGTGAGAGCCCTCGAGACAGGCCAGACCCCAGAGAGCACCAGGCCCTTGTTGGGGGCTCTCAGCCCACCTGGGGCAGCCCCGCTCCCCTTGCTCTCCTGAGAGGAGGGCAGTCACGATGGAGAGTGGGGCCGGGGGGGGGGGGGGGGGGCGGAGACGGTGAGCGCTGGGACTTGGCCTGGGCCGGTCAGGGGACCAGGCGGAGTGCCCAGGAGGAGGCCCCGGCAGCTGCCTGCCACTCTCCCCTGAACGCGAGGAGGCTCCAGTCTAGGTTTCTGACCCCAAATGCCCCCAGAGTTGATGTGGGGACCAGCCACGCCTCCCCAACCCTGACACAGGCACCCCAGGCCGTCGCCTTACAAACGCGCCACGGGCCCTGGGCCTGAGAAGTGCCAGGGAGCCCTGAGCCGGGCAGGGCAGGTGGGTCCCTTCGCTGTGAACAGCAGCCGGTGCAGGGCCTGGCCGGCCCACGGGCTGCCGTGCCGACAGTGTGCCGCCGGAAGGCAGGGGCAGTCAGGCCGGGAGCCCACTGCTGGGAGGTTACAACTGAAGCATCTTTTATTTTTTTGAATTCTCGCCAGAGGATACATGTTTATTGATTTCAGAGAGAGGGAGAGAGAGATAAAGAGAGAGAGAGAAAGAGAGAGAACAAACACATCAGTTGCTTCCCGTACTCGCCCCAACTGGGATTGAATCTGCAACCCGGGCAGGTGCCCTGACCCAATCCAGCCGCAGCTCGTCCTATCGGGACCGCACTCCGGCCACCGAGCCACGGCCGGCTGCAGGGACGCTGTGGAGTCGGCACAGGGTGCGCATCCCTCACGGGGCCCCGCCAGATGGGGAGCACCGGGGAGGCTCCCAACAGAGCGGACGATGACCGCAGTGGCCTGGGCCACGGCCTTGGGCCTGGGCTACGGGAGCTCTTCGACCCATTCTGTGAAAAGAAGACCCTGGGGCACTGGAGACCTGAGACTCTGGTCTCCACCGGGAAACCTGCCTGGAGATGCCAGGCGCCAAGGAGCCGCCAAGCTCCCAGCCTGGAGAAGGCACGTGAGGAGTGAACCAGGCCGTGGCTGCCTGGCGGAGAGGCCGGCACAGGCTGCCGAGCCAGGAGGGAGCTGTGCTGGAAGCCACACGGGAGGAGCAATCATTTTATTGGTCGTTTGTGCTTAGAGAAGCGGGGCTGGGGGAGGTGGGCATACGGCGGGCCCGGGGAAGCTGCTGGTCCAGGCTCCGGGGCAGGAAGGGCAGGGGCCACGAGCTCCCAGCGGTGTGTTGGCTGAGGGGGCATCTCTTTGTCCTTCTGGAAATGTCTCAAGACTAAGGCTGGCCCTGGCCCCTCCCGCCACCCTCGGGCCTGCTGCGTGTCTGTCCACATGGCCCTCCTTGGGGGTCCAGTTCCGCCTCTGGCCTCGCTGCCCCTGCTTCAGGGGGAGGAGCCACGGATGGAGCAGGCCTCACTGGCGAGTGTCCTCCAGCCCAGTCCTGGCTCTGGCGTTCGCAGGGGTGCAGCGCCCAGGCCGGGGCCCGCGGCCGAGGCAGCTCCTGGGGTCTGTGAGGCTGTGGTGGCACAGGCGGGCATCTGCAAAGGGCAGCAGAGCGGTGAGGGCTGCCGGACTAGGGGCCCCGGGCTATCCTGTGACCCTGCCTTAGTGGTGTCCATGGTGTCGGGGCCACTCCGACTCCAGAAAGGCCCCATTCTGACTTGGGCAAGCCTCAGTTTCCCCTCCGGAGTCACTGAGGGCTGGAGGGCCTGGCCCCAGCACACTGACAGGGACCCGGGGAACAGGGCCGGGAGGAGCCCCAGGCTTGGGGAGAGTCAGGGTCATGTTTGAGGACACACTGGGCCATTAATCCCTGGCCTGGTCATCATGCCATGAGTAAGGGAGCACGCTGGCATCCAGGTGCTCTGTGGGGTTCCCACACTGCCATGGGCATCCTGCTGGACAGACAGCTGCCTGTCAGCAGTCCACCCTTCCTCTGGTCAGTCAGGCCGCCCCGCCCTGTGGTGTGCAGCCCTGGCCGGGGTCCCGAGTGCAGGACCCTGGCGTCCCGTGTCCCGTTGCTCCCCTCAAGTCAGCAGAGTGACCTCCTGAGTCTGCCCTGGCGACACTCAGGGTGCTCCACACAGCAGGAGGCCACCGGCCTCCCTCAGCACCTGCCCAGCGGGGTGCCTGGCAGGCGCTGGGCCTCTGAGCAAGGACAGGGCTGCGTGTGGGCGGGAACGCTCCGCTGCAGGCATCGCCCACGAGGCCGGGCAGAGGCCGACGCGGTGGGGGCTGCTCACGGTCAGTGGCCGGAGGGCCTGGGCGGGCTGTGGCGGGGAGTGCCACCGGCCCTCACACTCACCAGAGCCTACTGCCGGGCGCCAGGTCCACCACAGGCTTCTGGACACCGAAGGCCGTGATGAAGATGTTCACCACAACGATGATGAAGACGAGGCCAGTGGCCAGGTTGTTGAGGAAGTCCAGTTTGGCGTGCTTGGCTGGGTTGTTGAGGTCGTACCTGACTGTGGGCGAGAGGGTGTGGACACTGCCCAGGCTGCCCGCACGGGGCCCAGCGGGGCCGAGCATCAGGCCGCCTCTGTCCATCAGAGACACGCCTGCTTTCGTGCACTACTGACAAGGGGCCTGGCCGGACGGGAGCCCAGAGGGGCCTGGCACCTGCAGCCACACAGCCAGTCATCCTGCCAGCCTCCCCTTCAGGTGACAGGCAGGGCAACAGGCAGGTCAAGTAACCGCAGGAGGTCACACAGCAGCCAGGAGGCGGGGAGGCACCCCCAGAGCCCTGCTGCTCCCAGCCCTGACCGCACCTGGGGACGGGGTGGAAGGACAGAGCCACGAGGGGCTCTCAGGGGCACATCCTGGACTGCAGGGCGAAGTGAGGTGCCCCCTCCCGCCCCTGGGCAGCTCTGAGGGCTCCCTGCTCACAGAGTATCCGATGGTGAGTGCCCCGCCCAGGAGGTGCCCGCAGGCCTGCAGGCATGGCCGCCAGCTCATACCCAGGAAGATGAGCAGCACGCCCACGCTGATCTGCAGCACCAGGGAGATGGTGATGAGGGCCACCAGGGGCACGTAGAAGCCGAAGCCGGGGCCCTGGTCGATGACGGCCTTCAGCTGCGAGGCGTTGGCCATCAGCAGGGCGATGTCCAGCATGCTCTCGGCGGCGCTCTTCTTGTTGGCGTAGTGGTTCACGTTGATGAGCCTATTCCTGCCCCAGCGCGTGGGCTGTGGGGAGGGGCAGTCAGTGGGCTGGCCACCGGGCAGCAGGGGCTGCAGGCCCACCCGGGACTCCTCCCGGGACTGGCAGGGAAGTGGGGGCTCAGGTGAGGCTTGAAAGGGAAGCGCTTAACAGAACAAGAGGCCCAAGAGGGTGAGTAGCCCCTGCAAGACCCTCCCTAGGAATCGAGCCCTGGAAGAGAAAGGAGACACACAACCTCAGCACACACGCAGGCTGGAAGCTGCCACCAGTGGCTGCCTGCACGTGGTCTCCCTTCCCGGGCCACTGCCCACGGCCCCTGCCTCCTCTCTAGGTCAGGGGGTGGGGATGCCGGGGCAGAGGTGGCTTTTGGGGTGGGAGGCAGATCCCTTCACTCGTCCAGCCCAGCCGGGAACTGCCTGCCTGGACCCCTCCCCGCCCAGAGCACCCCCGCTGAGCAGGGCGCACAGCAGACTCCAGAGCCGCCTGGGCATTCTATGCTGCAGTTGAGCTTAGATCTTCCTTAAGTTTCATTTAAAAAGTTTAAGCCACGTAATTGCGACATGGTTGACAGGCCATAAGCTGCGCACGTTTAATGCAGACGTTGCAGGGCCGGAGGCAAGTCCCCGCCCAGGCCTCCACATGCCGCCCCTGCCCCTGTGCACAGGGTTTGTGAGGACACGGCCGAGGCCACCCGCAGGGCGGCACTGTGACCCACCGCACCGGAGCCCGCCCCTCGCCTTCCTGCCGGCCACACCACAGGGGAGTCCAGACCCCCTCGCCTCTGCGGAGAACAGCCCGCTCCAAGCGGGGCCCTGCCACTCCCGGCGTCTCCACCTCCAGGGGACCTCAAACTGGCCCTGACTGGCCCTCCGGCCCTGGCCCTTTGTCCTCAGGGGCCGCTGTGCTGCCAAGCTGGAACCGTGGCCTCCTGGGGCCACAGGAGATCCTGTTTCTAGACTCAGGAAAGCTGGGAACGGGAGGCGGGTGTGGGAGGGGCCTCACGGTGCCCGGCCCACCTCCACGCTCGCACCTGCAGGAGGGGGGGCCTCGCTTTGTTAAGCTGAAGGTTAGTCTGGAACAACAGGCCCAGAGGAAGGAAGGATGGGCACACAGAACAGAGCTGGCTCTGCTGCCTGCCCCACTTTCCCTCACGTGAGCGGCTCTAAAGTAGTGAATCCACTCGGTTTAAAATTCCAGACCCAAAGGCACAGGGAAGGCGGCCTCCGCAGCCTGGGCCAGCCGCTGGGCCTCCCTGCAGCCCCCTGTGGGTCTCCCTCTGCCTCCCGCGCCAGGTCTCCAGCTGCGCTCACAGCGGGTGGCCGTGCCTCACGCCTCGGGGCTGCCCCCTCGCCAGGGTCTGGAGCCAGCGGCCACTGCCACGGGCCTGTGCCCCACAGCATGCGGCCACCCCTCGCGCCACACCCAGTGCATGCGTGCCCCTGAGTTTCATAAACCAAGAGGGCCAGAGTGCTCTCACTCGAAGCCACCCCAACGCTCATCCCAGGCTGCACGCCCAGAGAAAAAGCCGGTGCAGACTTACAAAGGGCACCACCTTCTGTGGCCACATACGTACACACGAGCTATGCATACAGATCCACACACACACATCCACACACACACATCCACACACACACATCTACACACACACATCCACACACACACATCCACACACACACACAAACACACATCCACACACACATCCACACACACACACACACACACACACATCCACACACACACAAACACACATCCACACACACATCCACACACACACAAACACACACACACACACACACACATCCACACACACACATCTACACACACACATCCACACACACACATCCACACACACACACACACACACACACACATCCACACACACATAAAACAAAGCCTGTACATAAACATAACATGCACACATGTGGGCACACCGTTATTAACATACATATATTAACATGCACATATATACATACACAATACACATGTATAAGCACACACACATATGTACACGCCCATATGAACCGCTGCCTGCCTCCCCAGCAGCCAGGAGCCACCTGGGAACCTCCTACCAAGACCTGGGCAGTGCAGGGGACAAACACCCTGTTAATGTGCTCCTGGGCCAACAGGACTTCCCAAAACCTCACCTGCGGCCAGGAGCTGGGTGGCTCAGGGCTGTCGGACTGTTTCCCCTAAAAGCCAGGAAGGGCCTGTGGGCAGGGAGCTGACTCCGTGCAGGGCTGCCACCCTCTGTGGACAGGGTCTTGCGGCCTCTCTCTGAAGGCAGCTCATGGTTACCCAGGCCACTGGCCCAGAACACACTGCTGTGCATCCTCCGTCCGGCAGGAGGGCGATTGGGACTTGATTCAAACCCAGGATTTGAACCCAGGTCTGAGGCACCCTGGGTGCCCAGTTCTGGTCACAGTATAAGGGATACTCCAGCCCACTCAGGCTTGAATGAGAGGAGACGGAGGGGACTTCCCGAGCCTCCAGCCCCCGCCCATTGGGCCTGGCTCCACTCTGCCATGGACCCCAATCCTAAGAACAGTGCGGAGCAAGGAGCCGCATGGGAGTCCTGCCTGTCCGCCCGGAGCCCATTTTCACATCTGCTGGGTGACAGACCGAGGACCCCAACAAATCTATGAGGTTCATCACCTGGCCCTCCCCTCTGGCATCCCTGCCCTGAGCCGGGTTCTCTCCCGTCTGTAAACTGGGCTGGCGGGATGGGGTGAGGGGTCCCAGTGGTGGCTGACAGCGGAGGAGGACTGTCCAGGAACGGAGGCCTGACTGGGCCGGGTGTCCCTCATCGGAGCTGCCATCGGGGCCACAGCACAGGCTGTGCCGGCACCGCCTGGGGCCACATCGGCCCACAGCATCCCCAGACCGTCCCCCTCAGCCAGCAAGAGGTCTCCACCCGCTCCAGGCAGGAAGTTTGGTGGGGACGGAGGGGGTGTTTCCGGTGGCAGCTGGGCTGTAGGCTGGGCGCACCCACTTCCTGTGGGCTCAGCACTGGCCTTCAGTGACCCTGCGGCCACATCCACGTCACCTTTCAGAACTTGGCTAAGACCCTGTCAGCCTTGGAATCTGCCAGGAAAGCAGAAAGGAGAGGAGCAAAGTTCCCCCAGCACCTCAGGCTGTGCGTGGCCGAGGTGGCCGGAGCCGTGCCCATCCTGTCCCACCCCCGTGCTGTCCTCAGCTGGCCACAGTCCCAGGATCTGCTGCAGCCGTGTCCCCGGCTGCCCCAACCCAAGCCTCCAGGCAAGACATAGCTGCAGGCCACTTTCACAATAACACTGACACTCACCATTCCTCCCGACATTAGCAAAAAGGAGCTGACTTACAGAAAACATTTCCGGGAAGGCCGGGGAGGGCTGGGCAGATGGGCCTACGTGCTCAAGCACATGGAGAGAGGCATCTCGGATCTCCCCACTGCCCTGGCCCAGAGGGGCTTGTCTGCCCAGAGCTTACATGTCTGACTCCTCCATAGGCCTGGCCACCTGCGGGGCGGACCATACCACCCCATTTCACAAACGAGGAAACTGAGGCTGGATCGACTCTGCACCTGCCCACGGCTGCGCGGTACAGTCCGGCTTCCCAGGTTGTTCTCCTGTGGCTAGGCCCTAGCCGCTAGGGGCGCGCTGGGGACACCGTCCACCCACCCCTGAGGAAGCCCTGGTTTATCCCTCCTCCCAGCAAACCTTTCTTCCTGCCCTCAGGCAGGGACGTGAAGGGAAAGCCTATGACGAGCCAGGAGAGTGTAGGGGAGAGTCATGCATGTCCGGCGTTCGCCCGGGGAACGCGCTGCCTGCGTCCCCACCAGGAGAGGGGCGTGTGTGGCAGGCGGGGATGCAGCACTTCACACATTAACTCCTTTAGTCCTCACAATGACCTCGAGGAGCACACTGCTACCACCCCACTTCACAGATGAGAAACTGAGGCACAGAGTGATGTGCCTTGAACACGACAAGGAAGGTCCTGAGGATGGGAAGGGAGGGAAGAGGCTGGGGTGCAGTGTCGGGTGGAAGTGGGCAAGCTGAGTGGCCCTGTGGCTGCCACCCCTCCAGGAGCTCCCCACTCGTGACCAAAGGAGCCAGACCAGTGTGTTGGCTCACGCAGGCTCCCAGCAAGGCCTGACCTCTCATCACACCTCCTCCCCAGAGCCCACGTGTTTGGTGGCCCAGCCTGAGGGCCTTTCTCTCCCTATTCCCTCTGCCTTGGGTGCCCTACTCCACATCGCGGGGGTAGGGGGCGCACCTGCACCTCTCCAGTCCTCCAGGGCCCACTGCCACCACACCAGCCCCTGGGGCTTCTGTCTGCTCTGCTTACGGGATGCAGAGCCACCCCGTCCAGAGCCAATGCAGTGTCCCACCCCCTCCAGAGCCAATGCAGTGTCCCACCCCCTCCAGAGCCAATGCAGTGCCGCCTCTCTCTCCAGAGCCAATGCAGTGCCCCCTCCTCCTCCAGAGCCAATGCAGTGCCTCCACCCCCTCCAGAGCCAATGCAGTGTCCCCTCCCCCTCCAGAGCCAATGCAGTGTCCCACCCCCTCCAGAGCCAATGCAGTGCCGCCTCTCTCTCCAGAGCCAATGCAGTGTCCCACCCCCTCCAGAGCCAATGCAGTGCCGCCTCTCTCTCCAGAGCCAATGCAGTGCCCCCTCCTCCTCCAGAGCCAATGCAGTGCCTCCTCCCCCGCCAGCGCCAATGCAGTGGCCCCTCCCCCTCCAGAGCCAATGCAGTGCCCCCACCCCCTCCAGAGCCAATGCAGTGCCACCTCCTCCTCCAGAGCCAATGCAGTGCCTCCTCCCTCTCCAGAGCCAATGCAGTGCCCCCACCCCCTCCAGAGCCAATGCAGTGCCACCTCCCCCTCCAGAGCCAATGCAGTGTCCCCTCCCTCTCCAGAGCCAATGCAGTGCCCCCACCCCCTCCAGAGCCAATGCAGTGTCCCCTCCCTCTCCAGAGCCAATGCAGTGCCCCCACCCCCTCCAGAGCCAATGCAGTGCCCCCTCACCTGAGACCGCAGGTCTGCAGCAAAGTGTGCAGCCAAAGCTGGGAGGTGAGCAGGACCCCTCCCTTCAAAACGACTTCCACCCTTCTGGCCTGGTGTTACCTGCTGTGCTCCCCACACAGCCCCAGGCCAGGAGAGAGCCCAGGGAGGAGAGCAGCTCCCCAGCACACAGCCCAGGGCTCCAAGGTTCCCGCCAGGGCAAGGCCAGTGAGCTCCCTCGCCAACTGGCTTCATCCCTAACCAGGACAGACATCCTGGGCCCCAGGCCGCGGGCTTTAGGGAGGGCGGGTAAGGGGCTGGCTGGGGGGGTTGCTGTGAGAGAAGGAGGGAAATGATGGTTGTGTGGGACCGGCTCCACCCAGGGCATCCACGCCACCTGGCGCCTCGCTTGCACGCACTCCTGGGCCCTATCATCTCTGCCCCCACCCCCCTCCAGGCCCTCCCCGCAGGGGGGCAGGAACGGAAAGACTGTCAACCAGTCCCCGAGGCTGTGCCCAGGGCAGCTTCACACCCAGGCTGGGAGTGCTGGGGCCCCCCAAGCGGCCCAGACCACCACCTGGGCCCAGCCCGGCAGCAGGGGGACCAAGGGCAGGAGGGCACCAGCTCTGATGTGGGGGGCACCTCTGCCCTTGCTTGCCCCACGCTCCCCACTCCCCTGGCCTGGCAGGGCAGGCGCTGCACAGGCCGCGGGCGGGTGCGGGAGCGGGGAGGGCCCCAGTGGCCTCAGGTTCCCCGTCAAGGCAACAGGGACTCTGCGGTCGCCGTGGCCGCCGCGGGTGATGTCACTGTCTGCCCGCCGCTGGCCCGGGGCCTGGAGGCGGGTACCCCTCCCGCCCGGGCGCAGGGAGCAGATAAGGCGGCTGCAAGTTAGAGGCTGCTGGGAGGGGGTGGCCGGCCGAGGGGAGATCGGGCGCCCCTGGCCCGCCCGATGGCAGCCGGCCGCGCTCCCCCTCACCTGCGGGGCGGCGAGACGGGGGGAGAGGGAGGGGGGGCGCGGGGCTCACGGGGCCCGAGCAGCGGCGCGAAGCCCAGGGAGGCCCCGCGGAGGCCGCGCGGGGGAGGGCTTACCGGGGCATCCCGGGCGCCGGGCGAGTCCGGCCGCAGGTCACCGTTGAGCTCGTACCCCTCGGGGACCGAGTCCATGGCGCGCACGGCCGCCGCCGCCTCGCTCCGAGCCTGAGGCCGCCCGCTCCCCGCCGCGGGTGTCCCGTGCGCGCCGCCCCCGGACCGGCCCGCCTCGTCCGCCCGCCCCAGGCCCCGCCCCGCCCGGCGCCCCGCCCGCCGCCCCGGGGACTCCCAGCGCTCCACCCTTCCCGAGGGAGGACCCGCGCGGCGCCCCGGCCCCTCCGCCCCGGCCCCACCGCCCCCGTCGGACAATTTTCATCCACAAAACAAGGCCCGGGACGGGCCATCGGCAAACCGCGGGAGCCCGCGAAGGCCGGGGCGGGGACCGGCGCCCGGCACACGGTGCGCCCCCGAGGCCGCCTCCGCCCTCTGCGCCCCCGCCTTCCGCCCGGGGAGCGGGACGCGAGGGCCTCCCACGCACTCGCCCGCCACCCCGCGTGCCCCCGGTGGCCCCTGGCGCCCTCCAGTGTGCGGGGCGGGTCAGAGCCCGGGGCTCCCGCAGCCCTAACTGGTCCCAGAACCTGGGCCTCCGAGGTGCCGGCGCGGAGCCGCCAGTGTGTGACCCCCAAGGGAGCGGCTGCTGCGCCCTCCTCTCGGGCCCCTGACCCCCTGACCGGGCCCCAGGCACCTCTGCCTTCGCCCCCTCCCGGTGGAGACCCCGACTCTGCCTTGCCCCCCGCGTCCGTTGATTTCCGCTCTGAAGCCCCTCCCCCCGGTGTGCCCTGAGCAGAGCTACCACCCACCCCGCGCTCCTCCAGCCCCCTGGGGAGGCAGCTGGCTGCGTGGGTGCCAGGCTGCGGGGCTCCGTGAGCTGAGCTTCTGCCAGCAGCTGTGTGGGCTGAGGCAGGAAAGGGGTCCCCTTAGCACGCGGCCGGGGCATGGTCTCCCCCAGAAACGGTAGCTCAGCGGGGTGGCCCCTGAGCCCCGCTGGCTGCGGGGGGGCGCAGTCATTCCGGCAGTCAGAGCCGTGCTGTGTGCCAGGCCCCAGGTCGCTGAACTGTGCTCGTGGGGCGGCCCTGCTGGGCCCAGGCGCCCCGCTCGGCTCTCCCTGGGAGCAGGTGTTCCCCGCACCTGACGGAGGACACTGAGGCACAGCTGGGGACAGGCCCCGCCGGCCAAGCACTCCGGGAGGTGGCGCAGCTGTCTGAGTGGTGGCCCCTGTGGTCTGCCTGCCTGCCTGCAGGTGGGCGCCTGTGGGGGCTGGAACCCGAGGCCGTGCCCAGCACTGCTCTCCACACACACACACACACACACACACACACACACACACACGCACACGCGGGCCCTCCCCCTGCTGGCCGCTGTGTTCTGTGTGTGAAACTGAAGGCATGGAAAATGCAAGTCACCCTGGGGATTTACCAGGAGAGGAATCATCCACTCAGCCCTGGTCAGGCCTCCCTGTGACCCCGGGCACATCCATGCCACCCGTTGGGCCCCGGCTGCTGTAGGACCTGCTCACGGAGGCATTCGGATCTGGCCCCTCAGGGCTCTCCTCCTCTGGGGCTGAGGTCAGGGTGTGTGTGCTGCCCCAGGAGCTCACCCAACGGCAGGCAGCCTCGTCTCTCTGTCCTCCACGCAGACCGCCAGCTGGGGGCTGGGGGCAGGGTCCCCTCCGCGGCGGCATTCCTGCGGCTGTCCCCAGCGGGCGGACTGCTGTCAGCCTACCTCCCAGCTACGGAGGCAGCTCAGAGAGCCGCTCAGTTCCCGGTCTGCCTCCCCTGCTACAGGCACAGGAGCGCAGGGTGCTGGGGCCAGTCAGGCCTGGCAGCGGCCCTTGCAGCGGCCCTTATGCTCACATAACCCAACCTGCACTCAGGAGCCGCTGGGAGTCCAGACTTAGACGTTGGCGCCCTTTGCACAGAAAGCACGTGCCCCTGCCCCAGCCACATGGGACTCACACCCCCACCCTCCCAGGGCAGCGCTGGTTCGGAACGGGCCAGGGAGAGGCGGCCAGGAAAGAGGTCCCGTGTCCATGTGCAGAAGGCAAGAGTGGAGGGGTGGGGGGAGTGAAGGGGCTGAGGAGCCTGCCCCTGCCTGTCCTGCACCACGAGTGTCTCGGTGGCTCAGCGGGGAGTTGGGGTGCCTGGCCTCCCACCCTGAAGATGCTGTCCTGTGGGGCTCCCGACAGCTCTGGTCTGGGGTCCCGTGTCCCTGCGTGCAGAAGGAAAGGCCGTGGTGGGCAGTGGGCCGACAGGCCTTTAGGTCTGGGTATGTCGCCCTGCTCTGTAGGGAAAACACGTGTGCAACTCACGCACACATGCGGACACGCACGACCGGCTGCACACGCAGCGTTGGCTGAGTGCACTTGCCCCTCTGAGCGGTGAGACTGGGCCATGCCTCCTGTCTGTAAAGTCGGGGTGCCGTGAAGAGGTGCCCCTCCGCACACTGCTGCTTGGAGCAGGCAGCCTCGACCCGGGGGCAGGCCCAGAGGTGCAGCCTCGCTCTGCTCCGGGCACTCCCTCACCGCCCCCCTCAGTGGCCCCTGGAGAAGCGTGGGTGTGGGGAGGAGGTGCGCTGAGACACCCTGTCTGTGGAAGTGGCGGGCTCCTGTCCCTCTCCATCTCTGAGAGGCGGGAGTGGGGCGGGGATGAGACAAGCTGGAGGTGGCGAGGCCTGCCCTGGCATCCTGGGCGGAGGGAGGCAGCCCTGGCATCCTGGGCAGAGGGCGGCAGGCCTGGCATCCTGGGCGGAGGGTGGCAGGCCTGTGCGAGGTCCTGGCCAGGAGGCTGGCTCTGCAGCTGCAGCTCTGCCCTCCTGGGCCCCGGGCCCGCCCACACATGCCCACCGCCAGGAGCAGCGCGCCTGGGGCAGCGGACACTCCCTAGGAGCTGGTGGCTGCCCACGGGGCACCCCGGGCACAGTTACATGGCAGTGGGTGGGGCCCAGTGCTCTTTGCTTCTGTCAGGCACTTTCAGGAACCACAGCCCCCACCAGGTGGTGACAGCGTGAGGGGGAGGGCGGCCACCGGAGGAAGGTGCCCGCCATCGCTCCCACTTTGAAGACAGGGGAGGAAGCGTCGCTGTGTCACATGGGCAGCCGGCCGAGCCTGGTAACCGGCCAGTAACACAGTGGGCACCTATGCAGGCACACCGCCCCCTCGGCCCTTGCAGGACTTGACATGCCAGGGCCACATGGAAAGGAGCAGCTGGCCCTCGAAGGCCCTGATCCCCAGAAACAAAGTGGGTGCTGAACTGCCTTGCAGCCATCAACAGAGCCGGCGCCGCAGCGGCTGGCTCCGGCAAGGGGTCCCAATGCGCAGGCCGTCTGCTCGCCTGTAGCCCGTCTCTCCCCGGCACGGGTAGGCCTGGCTCCACTGTCAGCTACTGGCACCTGTGCCGGCAGAGCCCTTCCCCAGCAGTCAGGGCAAAGGCAGCGGGGACAGCGCTCAGCCCATGGGAGCCCTGACTTCGGTGCAGCAAGTGGTGCCCCGTTTACCTGTAGCTTCGCGTGCCCTGGCCGCTTCCTGAGGGTCGGGGGGCTGTGCTGTCCTCACGACTCCCTCCTTCCTGCTGCCTGGAATACGGTGCAATGGCCGGAGCTCCCGCAGCCACTGGCCCAGGAGGAGAGCGTGGGCTGGGGGTCTCGCACAGCCCAGTGAAGACAGAGAGCCTGTCTCTCCAGTGGGGCACTGAGCCCAGACCCTCCCCAGTGCCACCTCCGCACTTCTCAGGGGGAGTAAGAAAGAAGTCTGTCTTGTTTTGAGAGCGCTGTAATCTTTTTTCTGATATCCACAGCTGATCTCAATCCTATTTTTCTTTTTTTTAAAAAAAAAAGAACGAACTATATTCTTTAGAAATAGTTGTTTTATTTTTTTTTAAATATATTTTATTGATTCTTCACAGAGAGGAAGGGAGAGGGATAGAGAGCCAGAAACATCGATGAGAGAGAAGCATCGACCAGCTGCCTCCTGCACACCCCCCACTGGGGATGTGCCCGCAACCCAGGTACATGCCCTTGACCGGAATCGAACCAGGGACCCTTCAGTCCGCAGGCCGACGCTCTATCCACTGAGCAAAACCGGTTTCGGCTCAATCGTATTTTTCATATATTTTCATTAATAAATCATTTTTTCTTTAAGCACAGAACATAACAACAGATTAAACACCGCCCCTCCCCTCAAGCCTATGTTGAAAAGCACATCCCACTGGCCAGCTGAGGCCCTCCGAAGTCTTCTTTCGAAAGTCCTCACTCCTGGGTGCGCCCACTCCCCTCCCGCCGCCCTTCTCTTGCCCATGGACTCCCGTTTACCTCGGGGCCTTCGCATGGCCCCTGCCCCCAGGCTCCGCCTTGTCCCCTGACTGCAGACTCCTGTCTGCCACAGCCTCTGGCCCTCACCATGCCCTGGGTCAGGCCTGAAAGCACTGGTCTTGTTTGTGTGGGGCTGACTGTGCCCTCCCGGGGCCCAGACATAAAGCCCAGGCACTGCTGACCCGCAGCCCCCCCACCCCCACCCCCCCGGCCACCTGCGCGGGGCACACCCTGGCCACGTCCCTTGCTCAGCCTCCCGGCAGCCCTCAGCGAGCGGGTGCGGCCTGTGCTGCACAGACTGACAAGGCCACGCTGGAGCCGCCCAGCCCCGGGCTCGGCTGGCCAAGAGCGGAGCCAGTGGCCGCGGGGAGCGTGGAAAGGAGGTGCCCTTTGGGACCCTCGGGGCAAGTGGTCTGTGGTTTGGGGAAGAGCAGGCGCCGGCAGCCAGGTCTCGTCTGGGTGCCCCTTCCTCTTCCCGAGGTCCCTGCTGGCTGTGGCCGGTGCCAGCGGTGGGGAAGCTGGGCAGGCCACGGCTGCCCCTTAGGAAGCTGGGTCTGAAAGCTTCACATCTGGCCCAGGGGCTCAGCGGAAGCTGCTGAGTGAGCAGTGAGGCGAGCAGACCCCGCTGACTCCCTCCTGCCTTCCCTGTCCAGGGCCAAAGCCTCTTTATTCCCCAATCTGGGTGCTGCCTCCTCCAGGGAGTCCCAGGTGCCCCGAGGGCATCCTCTCTGTACCCTGAGGTTTTCCTGCCCCCTGCCCCATGAGACTCCCCCCTTACTGGGGCTCAGGAGCTGCCTCCTGCGGTACCCCAGCATCCAGGTGCTTCCCAGCCCTGAAGGCTCTGAGTTGTGACATGACCTCGTGGTTC